TTCCTTTCCCCCTTCTGGTACCCCTATAATTCGGATGTTGGAGCGTTTAAAGATGTCCTGGAGGTTCCTAAGACTCTCCTCATTTTTTTGAATTCTTGCTTCTTGACTCTTTTCTGTTTGGCCATTATTTGCTTTCTTCTGGTCCACTCCATTGATTTGAGTCCCAGTTTCCTTTTCATTGCTATTGGTGTCCTGTGCAATTCCCTTCATTTCAATTAGTTTCGCTTTCATATGTTTGTCTAATTTGTGGCTATAATCAACCAGTTCTGTGAGGATCTTGATCACCAGTGTTTTAAACTGTGTGTCTGAGAGTTTTGCTATTTCTTCATCGCTTAGATTTATAGGCTCTGGGGCTTTGAGAGCTTCTTGAGTCATTTTTGGTCTGTTCGGGCCCTTTAAGTGTGAGGAGCAGAGCCTTGACTCCCTCATCAGGGTCGGGCCACTCAGAGTCGCTGGGTTATGACGCTGTATGTGGAGGTGGGGTCAGAGCGGGGAAATGGCAGCGCCCTCCGGTGCCGCCTGCCATGGGACCCGCTGGGTCCCGGTCCAATCGCCCACTCCCTCGCTTGTCTACCCGCGCACAAATGCGCCACCACAGTCAACCGGCAGCCCTGCTCCCTTTCTGTTCCCCGTGGTCGCTGTGTCTCTCACTAGGTCCAACCCAGCGCCTGGATTCCACGTGCCTGAGTCTGTCTGACCAAGTTTTCCTGTGTAACCCCCCTCTACCAGCTGCTGGTTTCGCCCCTTGCCGGTCAGGCTGAAGAATTTGTTGTTAACAGACTTCCGAAAAGTTCAATTTTCTGTATTTTGGCTGTGTTTTCTGTTGCTAATATTTAGTTGTCTCTAAACTTGGTTGTGTGAGAAGGCATGGCGTCTCCACCTATGCCTCCATCTTGGCGGAAGTCCTCTGATCATATTTTTTAAAGTGTGTTTTCAAGTTTCAGCTGGGACAATGAGTAAATATTTCTTACAGCATTAAATAATTTCATGGACTCAAAAGGATACAGAAGTTATTAGCTTCCAGAATCCTCTCTGACAGACAAAAGAAAGAACTGACAGCCAACATGTCCCAGGCAGGCAGAAAGCCAAGCCACGCCAGCAGTACCTATCTGTTCCTTAGAGAAAAGGATCAATAACAAATTGATCTGTTTTGGGGAAAGTCGGGACAATGCAAAATTTTATTTTCCTCTCTTACTGGGCTCAGGAGATAATCCATTTACAATATTTTTGACGATCCTCCCTGGGTTCATGAAATTCTTGGCTTCCAGTCAAGATGGCAGCATAGGTAAACATGCTACTTGCCTGCTTGCACAGCCACATCTAAATTGCAACTAAACTATAGAACACCATCATTTAGTACTGCCTAAAATCGAGCTGAATGGAAATCCCACAACTATGGAATTAAAGAAGAAACCACACCAAGACTTCTGGAGGAGCAGAGATGTGGAATGGGCTGGTTCCACATACACATGTAGTGAATAAGTATTGGGAAAAATATCTTGGCTGTTCAGGTCAAGGAGCGAGGAGGAGCGAGGGTCCCATATCCACACCAGGCACCCAAGCCCAAGATTCTAGTGCCAGGAAGATAAGTCCTCATAACTGGCTATAGAATTCAGCAGGGATTGAGGCTGAGGAAGACATGAGAGAGTCTTCCTTCTAAAGTCCCAGGAAGTTCCTCTTAAAGGGCCCATTCATGGATTTACTTGGACATACAGGGAAGAAATGAATGGTCAGGCATCCAGGCAAGAGCTGTGGGGGCAGCTTTCTCCTTTGCTGAGCCCTCACCTGCAGAGCCTGCAAGTGGGTGCCATATCTGAGACTCCTTCAACCTATTACTGTTTGCCTTGCTCTGGTAGTTTCCTGAGACCCCACCACAGACAACTTTTGGGCCCACCCAAGCTATTTCTAGTAACTCTCCCATATGAATTGCTTGTCTTGGTTCACACTAGATTTTCCTAAATTTTCTCAAACAACCAGCATCTGGCTTCAGCAAGCCCTGCACTTCTTTTTAAGTGGCCCAAGACTGGAACTAGCTGCATCTAGCCTTAGTTCACAGCTTGGCCTTGCCTGGGTACCTCTAAGCCCAACACAAGTGGCAGGCATCTGCAGGTTGCTTTGTAGTTCATGCTGGGTAACAACAGGCAGTACACAGATGAGGGCTGACCTTGGCCTGCACCTCCCAGGGTGCCCCAGAGGTGGTGCACCCAGTGGACAGTTTCAGACCATATCAAATACTGCCCAGCCACCTCCAGAAGTGACACACTCAAAGGGCAGACTCGCCAGGCACCAGAGCCCTGCTGAAGTAAATCCTGCTCTGTGGGGTGGGACCTAGCACAGCTGATCTTCCACACTGGTCCAAGGTCAGTGGTCAGTGGTCATAGCCAGTCCTTGCAGCTGATTAGCCTGAGTAGATCCCTCCCATTGATGTGCCAAGAGAAATCAAGATTCAACTATAGCAGGAGGATGTACACAGCTCACACAGGAGGTGAACCTCATGTTACCCAACTTTGGTGACAGAGACGACTGTGCCACTGATCCCTACAGGGCATCTACTATATTAGGCCTCTTTACCAAGCCTGTGAGACATAGAAGCTTTAACTAATACACAGAAACAAACACAGGGAGGCTACCAGAATGAGAAGACAAAGAAACATGGCCCAAATGGAAGAAGAGAATGAAACTCCAGACAAAGATTGAAACGAAATGGAGACAAGCAATCCACTAGTTGCAGAGTTCAAAACACTGGTTAGGAGGATGCTCAGTGAACTTAGTGAGAATCTCAACAGCAAAAAAAAGAACCAGTCAGAAGTGAAGGGTACACTAATTGAAATGAAGAATAATTTACAGGAAATCAACAGTAGAGTGAATGAAGCTGAGAATCAAATCAGCAAAAAGAAAAAAGAATCCAAAAGAATGAGGATAGTGTAAGGAGTCTCTGAGACAACTTCAAGTGTTCCAAAATTTGTGTCACGGGCATGCTGGAAGGAAAAAAGATCCAGAAATCGGAAACCTACTTGAAAAAATAATGAGAGAAAATGTCCCTAGCTTGGTGAAGGTAAAAGACATGTAAGTCCAGGAAGTGCAGAGAATTCCAAACAAGAAGAACCCAAAGGGGCCCATTCCCAAGACACAGGGAAATACATAATTTCCCTGTATATTCATGGCTTAGTAACTGAGCTAACCAGGGCCTGTCCATGTGGTGCCTTGATGTGTGACCCAACAAATAGCGTTGAGGGAAATAGGTTTCTGTTTACAGGATTCCAACCTTGTAGGGGTGGAGCTGAGAGCACTCCTGCTCGGAAGCCTGTTCTCCCACAAGACCCAGCACTTCTCTTGCTCCCCACCAGGCTATAATCCAAAAGCGTGCCCCAAAGTCCCCATATCCTTAGCTGTTCTTAAGCCAGCTGCACAAATGGGTCTCCATTCCTCTGGAAGATACACTCATGGATTCAGAATCGCCATCTTCCCACAGCAGCTCCCTCCCTTTCTGAACCTTTTGTAAGTATATGTGGGGATCTCTGATTCTCTCATGTTGTGGAGATTCCATGTGTATGTGTGTATTAAATTTGGTTGTTTCCTCTTGCTATTCTATCTCATGTCTGTTTGGTTATAAAACCACCCCCAACGTCTGCTATAGGTCCACATACTGTGCGTGGCCAATCCCTACCTAGTACCCTCCCTGTGAGAACACATCCTGTTGCCTATAGCAGTTAGCCTCTTAGGGTTTTTGTCAATACTGAACCTTATGGATAGCTTTTAGCATGTGTTTCTGGAATGAAAATGAAATAAAGGTATGTCAAAAAAGGAAGCAAAGAGCACTGAAATGTTTTGAAGTTTTGAATTTATCAAAGACCTGTAGGTCCAATTCCCCCTTTGGTTCTTCTCCAAGTGACCTGGAGTTTGCCTTCTCCTCCCCAGACCCCATACTCCACTCCACAGGTGTGCAGTGGTTCACACCTGTGCCTCCCTCCTCTCACCTTTGCTGCCACTTTAGGGGCCTGTGGCATTGAATTAGTCCCTAGCCTGTTAAATTTTAGTTTCCTCTTTGGTAGATTGGGAATTACACCTACCTCATCATCTGTGAAGATAGAGAAGGTAGTGTGTAGAGGACAGTACCTGATATGGAGGAGCTCAAAAAATGGTAACCTATTAATACTGATTAATGCCTCCCAATGAATCATTTAGTTGACAAGAGCCAATGAAATGTGTAGGTCAAGGCAACTTATCTTTCACTGTAGTTTCTGTAGGATAATAACTGTAAATTCTGGTCCGAAAAGCATCCTCCCACTCACTGCTACCACCTGACTTCACCCCTTGCCCCAGGCTTGCTCTTGAATCACTGCTACTAGAATAAGCTCTTCTAAACCCAAATCAGAGAATCTATATTTTCTCTCTTAAACCATATGGCTCCCCATGTACAGGAAAAGTTTAATCTGCCTAGCAAGGCTTACAGGAGCATAAGGCCCACCTCTGCACCCCCTTTCCACCCCAGCTCCTTAGATGTGCTCCTGAAGGCCCTTTTGGGGCTGGCCTGGTTGTCAGACACACTGCCCAGAAAGTCCTTCCCTTCCCTCTAGTGTTCCAGGCTGCCTGGTGAACTCCCACTCTATCTTCAAACCCCAGTTCACAAAGCTCATCCTCAGGGATGTGTTTGCTAAGCCATCGAAATAGAGCTGGTCGTTGCCTTTCTAAGTCACCACGGTATTTAAAACACACTCCAGAGTTAGACCCAATGCATTAGACTGAGCTAGCTGAGCAATCCTGTCTTGTATGTTAATCATTTTTAGTTATATATCTACTTCTATTGGACTTGAGTCGCTTGAAGGTGAGGGCAGTAGCTTCCTTTCTTTTTATTTCCGTAGCCTGACCACCTGGTTGGATCTCATGGAATGTCTGGCGACCTGCTTTGGGGAGTACAGGGTAAATGCCTCTAGTGGGATTGGCCTGGATGGGCCGTGGGCACTCCTCTGACACTGAAAACCTGGCCTTTTCCTTTGCAGGTGTTCTTTCTAATCCTGAGTTCTTCAGTTACGGGGTGGAAGCATATGAAGCCTACAAGAAGAGGTCTCTTACCAGTGACATACTTGATGAGCAGAGAAAGGTTCATGAAGCTGATCTAGTAATATTTCAGGTTAGATTCCCTCTAATCATTATAAATGAATTAGAGTCATTCTACATACAAACTCTTTCCAAATGTTTAATGTCATACTCCTAGAGGTGGCATTGGTGTTTTTAGCACATTTGCACACTCATTCATGTCTACTTGGATAAGAAGGTGCATGTACCCAATATCACTTATTCAAACTCCTGACCCCCAAGTACAAGGGAAGTATTTAGCTATAGTTCAGTGGTCCAAGAAATGCCTGAATCATGCATAGCATGTTTCCTCATTCCCCTCTGATCCCCACCCCCAGATAGGCAGGGGCTGCATGAAAAGCAGCTTTGTCTATACCAGGTCAAGTGCAGCCTCTGCCTTAAAAATCCTGATGGTTAAGAGGAAAATCTTTAGTTTCCTTCCTCTCACTGGTTACCTCACCCGCCCACAATCCCTGTGTTCATTCACAAATTGTTCTAGGGTCATATGATTCACTATGGAAAGAACTGGCCCAGGACACTGCTTCTAAGCAGTGTAACTCATCATGGCCACTCCATGCCACAGGCTTGCAGTCATGGATGTGTACCTTAGCCTGGCAGCAAAATAAACACATGCTTTTTGGGAGTCATTGGGTTGATGGAAATCAAAGTCAAACTTGAAAAAGAGGGAGGGGAATTTATTTTCATGGCCCTGGTCACCTGGGTGTCCTAGAACCAAGACCAGACTGTGGCAGGGCAGAGTGGGAACAGGGGCTTGGATACATCTGCTCTTTCTCTCCCGAGTCTCGTTTGCTTCTCTCTGCCTGCTGGTCTGTCCTCTCACTTCACACCAAGGACTGGAGTCTCTAGATCCAGAATCTCCCAGATGGAACTGACTGGTCCAGATGGTCTGTTTCCAACCCTGACTGACTGCTGGAAGTGGCCAGGAAAACAAGATCACCCTTTTCTGGCACCAGGACAATGGGGTATCTCAGCACTGGGCTCGGAACCACAGACAGCTCTCTAGCTCTTTTTCTGGTGTCCCTGGGATCAGCTGGCCACTCATGTAACTGGGTAGCTAAAGCAAGCCAAGGCCTGTTCTTTTAATAATATTTTTTTTAATCCCACCCCATGTCACATCTCATCTCCCACTCACCTCCACTCTTTCTGACACTTTGCCCAGAAGGTGTATGATGCTAGCTTATTTCTTTCATTCAGCACCACTGCCACTGTCAGCACAGCTCACTCCTCACTGAATCAGTCTGCTCTGGGTCCTCATCACAGTGCTGTGAGCTAGGAACTAGGAGTAGCTCTATTTGCAAACTAGGAGAGTGGGGCATAGAGTGCTTTCATAACTTGCCAGTATCACAAAGCAGTAGGTTGTGAAGCTTGGAGTTCAATGCCAAGTCCTGAGTTAGATTTATAGTGAAAGCACATGAAACGCAGGCTGTTCCTTTCCCCTTTAGTAACAGACTGTTGTCTGTGTCCATCTCTTTTCCTTGATGACAGTGCGGGATATGGTGTTAGGGCTTCCAAGGGAACTGAGAGAACTTCAGGGAGATCTTACTGCTGGTGTGTGGAAGCTGAGGGGAAGGGTTTAGTTTGTGTCAAAATTTGAAGCCTCCCAGAACCTAACTCAGTCTGACTCCCAGATGCCAGCTGTTCATCCCCAAGCGCACACAGGGGCAGACTCTTTCTCTACACCCTTCCTCTCATTCTCTCCTTTGCATCGGTCACAGAGACTGCTGCCACAGAGCAAGTGTCTAGCAGAGGTTCCCAGTGCCTTTCTGTCTGCTCAGGAACCAGCATTCAGGGGCTGTCAGTGAGGAATGCACAGTCCCCTGTGACAACCTCGTCAACTGCTCCCCGCCCCACTCCACCAAAACACATCCACACTGCATGCCTCCCAGTGAAAGGGGAGAAATATCCTCAATGGTGATGCCCTGTGTGGGTTACACTTCACTGCTCAGTCACCCTGGAAGAGGACAGCAGGGTTCCTTTTGAGTCACCAGAGAGACCAAACCTTGAAACCTGAGACAACCACAGCATCTGTTTGTCCTTGGTGTTGTCCCTAGTTCCCGCTGTACTGGTTCAGTGTGCCGGCCATCCTGAAGGGCTGGATGGACAGGGTGCTGTGCCAGGGGTTTGCCTTTGACCTCCCAGGATTCTATGATTCCGGTTTTCTCAAGGTATGTTCTCTGGGATACGGATCACTATAGACCAAGGGAGGGATGGGATGCATCTCACCACGTTATACTTCTAGTTTGCTTTTTCAAAAACAAGCACTGATTGAGCACCAGCTATGCGCAAAGAAAGCCCTGTGTGCTACCCATGGGTGAAAAGCACAATTGTTCCTGAAGTCTTGGAGATTTGTCTGTCAAGTAAGGGACACAGGTGCACGCACACCTCTCTGGTGCATGGCTAAGGACCTGGGCTGGTGTCAGGAGGGTGGACTGCCCTGGCTCTGAGAGGGCTGTCTGCTCTGCCCCTGGACTGAGTCTAGCCCTGGCCTCACCCAGTTCACATCTCAGAGTTTCACATGGAACCTGGTAGATACCCAATACATGGTAGCTGTGAATTTCTTACTAAAATACATGACTTTTAAAATTCCAAAAGCTTCGGAAAATAGTGCATGCAAGGAAAACACTGAGTCACAGATCCAGCTTGGACTAGATGTAATGCTACCATTTACTAAGTGGGGCCATGCACGGGCACCGCCTGCCACCTCATTGTCCTCCCCGCTGCCCAGGTTGTGCCTGGGCCTCACCCACTTCTCACCCCACAGCACCGAACCCTGCTCTCTGCTGGAAGTAGGGGCAGGGCAGAGCTGGGTAGTGACCCAGTGTATTCCCTGTGACTGCTCCTGGTCATTGTAATGCTTGTGCTAAAGTCATGGTAGCATTTCTTTGTCTCCTCCTCTGGAGCTCACATAAGTGCATTTGCTTTCTCCACTGCAGGATAAATTGGCCCTACTCTCGATAACCACGGGAGGCACAGCTGCGATGTACGGGAAAACTGGAGTCAGTGGAGATTTTAAATACTTCCTGTGGCCCCTCCAGGTAGCCACTGTACCTCACCCCGTCTCTCCTTCCCTCGAAGCTTTCCCCGGTTCAAAATGAGATGCACCTGAAGCCTGAAACCTAGACCATTTTGACTCTACCTGGATACAGGAAATTATAACATTCTACTTTTTAATTTTTTACTTAGTGGCAATGCAGAGGTTGGCCAATAGGTTCAAACATGTATTATAATGATATGCTTCAATATAGTTTGGGGGGAAGCTAAGCCAGACCTGGTTAGCTGAATCAACTCCACAGTAAGCAGGATTGTCCCACGTGGCCCTGTGGGGGCACTGAGGGCTGCAGAGCTGTAGTGTCCTGCAGAGGCCATGCTCAAGCCCTGGCTAGAGGTGCCAGAGGAGCCCGGCATTCTGGACAGCCTCACCTGCTGTACAGGTGAGGCTCACAGAGCCAGGGGCTGTGCCTCCTCCTCATAGTGCCCCCACTCCAGGTTCCCAGCACTCGGGGCTCAGAGACCACTGTCCCAGGTGAATGCCAGCTGCCTACATGGGCACTGCTGGGCGCTGACCAAGAGGCAGCCAAGGATGGCTGTCTGCAAAGGGGCAAGCAGTGGGCAAGACTTGTGGGAGAAGAAAGAGAGCTCTGCTCAGGCCACCAGATGGCAGTAAAGAATTCCACAGAGACCCAAAAACCTAAATGGGAACTGTCCTTCCAAGTTATGCAGGGAGGGAATGGTGACATTTTTACGTTTGTGAGCTCCCTTTCACTTTTTGTTTTAAGTCTATTTTTAAAAAGAGAGAAGAGAGGGAGAGAAACATGAGTGTGTGGTTGCCTCTCACATACCCTCTACTGGGGATCTGGCCCTCACCCAGGCATGTGCCCAGACTGGGAATGGAACTGGCAACCTGTTGGGTTTGCAGGCTGGTGCTCAGTCCACTGAGCTACACCAGCCAGGGCTGTGATCTTACTTTTAAAGTGTGACAGTGATGTGTGGGCCTCTTGACCGCCCACCACCCTGATGGGGCAGGCCTGGACAGGGCTGTGGGTTTGCAGGGAAGGAATGCAAAGAGAAGTGAGTGATATTTTGAGAGGAGGAGGAGGGGAGGGAAGTGGTCGTGTTTGAAAAAGATGACACAGTGATTTCATTTAGTGATGCTGTCCTTAAAGAAATGATCGTTTACAAGCCTGAACCTTTTTCTCCATAGTCCATCTGGTCTTATATGCCATTAGCCCAGCTTAAATTTTTCTTCTTGTTTAGAAATTTTTATATTTTTTCAGTTTACAAAGGTATATAGTATAGAAAAAAGTGAGGCTATAAAATATAAAAGTCGAAAGTCCTCTTAATTTCACCTTAAAAATAATCATTTCTAATAATATGGATTTCCTTATGGCTCATATATATTTTTACTTATATGATTTGTATTATTGATTCATTATTATTATTTTTACTTAAATGGTATATCATAATTGTTGCTTCAAACTCCTTATTGTTTTCATTTACCATATATCTTAACCTTCCAGGTGGCACATTATAGCTAGAAGAATCTCATTCTAGAATAATCCATCCTATGATTATATCATAATTTGCCTAATCAATCAAAATCATGACATTTAGTGCCTGAATCAGTAGCAAAGATTACATATTAATCTCAATTTTCATAACAGAATTTGGAACTTTCAGTTGCCTTGAGTTCGCCTCCCTGATACAGGCCAGCGTCCTAAGGTTATGGGACATTTAAATTATTTTTACTCACCCACCAGCATTAAAGTTGCTCAGTTTTTTTTTGAAGTTTTGTTTCATACCGTCTCCCTTAGATTATTTAACGGAAACATATGTAAAGGTTATAGCTTCTAATTAATTCCTTTCTTTCTCTGTGTCTATAGCATGGTGCATTGCACTTCTGTGGATTTAAAGTCCTTGCTCCTCAGATCAGTTTTGCTCCTGAGTTTGCATCAGAAGAAGAAAGAAAGGGGATGATGGCGTCTTGGGCCCAGAGGCTGAAAACCATCTGGAGGGAAGATCCCATCCCCTGCACGCCCTCTTGGTACTTTGGGCAGTAACGCTGTCTGTCATGTACACATCACTTGAGCAACACACTAGTAGGTGGGAGCACGTGCAAAGAGAAGATGATGCTGTAATAACATGAAATGACAACAAACTTAGCTGCATCTGATTGCTGATGTGCATGAATGGGTGTCTTCATGGTTTTATATGGCCAGACCCAAAAATCCAGTAATCAGCTGGTTGAATTGAATTCTAGTCTAATATCATTATTCACCCAGGCTTTCTTTTCTTTTCTTCTCTAACATCTTTCTGTCCCCCTATATTCAATCTTCATGGATAATGTTGTTTTAAGATATTTCTCTTGATATTAGGCTGCATCTGACAATTTTGTGTTGTACTTCATAACTTGAGAGCTTCTATTTTTTTACAGGAAAGATTAATCTTCTCTTAGCTAGCATTATAGTGCTGTGGACTTATTTTTACATCTTTCTTTTAACTTGCATTATGATGATGGAGTTTTAAATGAACAGCCATTTAAAATATATTTAAAATCATTGAGTGCTGATTACAATGAAAAACAGTAGTCCAGTGGCATCCTACAATATCATGATGCATGTGTTCATGTAACATTTCTAATAATTAGCCCACGGTGTTGGTGCAGGTAGGTGGATGTATCCCCCTAAAAACAAGTTGAAGTTACTAAATCTTCTCTTCCTCCTCCTCCTCCTCATGATCACTACTGAGGACAAAGCCACCACTTGTGGACAGGGGCCCTTCACCCACTGCAGGTTCCTTCACACCAGACATGGCATCTACTTCTCACTGGACTCTTCTCTTCAAACACCACCTTGTTGGAATCCTCATCTTCCACCACTTTTCACCTGCATCATCTCCCTCCTCCTAGGCACCATCAGCCCTTCCCCCTCTGCGTGTTCTTCCTCCTCTTTTCCATCTGGTGCATCATTGAATACTTTTCCACATTCGTCTTCTTCCTTTGCCTCTGAATTTTCACACTCTCAGAACTTTCCTCGTCACTCACTCAGACCCATCATCATCAAATTCTAATTTATCCTGACATTTCTCCTAACATTTTTTCAACACCACTATCTTCTAGTAATTTTTGGAACCATTTCAAACTGTTTTTCAACGCAGTTTTCAGATTCTCTTCGCAAGACATCTTCTTCAGACCCTTTTTGGGGCCATTCTCTCTTCGGGTTCCTTTTCAGGGTCACCTTCAGGCCTCTCACAGAGCCTTTCTTGCCATCATCTCTTTTGAGCCTCTTCTTTTTAGGGCCTTCTTCCAGACCATTCTCTACTGACTTTAGGAACTTCCTTAGTCACACTGTCTGTTAGGGCCACGTTCTTTAGCACCTTTTTTCAAAATCTCCCCCATCTTCTATCTTTTCAAATATCTTGTCATGTATAGTTTATTTTGAAAAGATTTAATCCAGTATTTATTCCACACTCATGATCATTTTCTAAAGTCAGAATATATCACAAAAGCAATCTGTCAAGTAACTTTCCAATCTTAAATAATACAGCATAGCATTACTTTTAATATGTCTCTGTTCTAGATTAATTTTTTAAAGTAATCTTCATTATCAATAAAAATGAGTGAATCTTTAGAAAAGAACACTACATCAAACTTCCATAACTTAAGTATTTTTTATTTATAAAAATGCTCTGGAACCTTGAGACATGCATCTAATCCCTGACTCTGCCCCTCTGCCCCGCCCTCTCAGTTCCCCGTGAGCACAGCATTGCTGCAAGAATGCTCAATGAGACATTCACCTTTCCCTTTCATACAGTACTTTAACATCTGAGAAATTCCAGAAAAAACATTATATCGTGTATTTTTCTTTTTTCCATTTTAAAATCTTTTATTTTTCAGTTACAGTTGACATGCATTATTATATTATTTTTGAGTGTACTGTCATGTATTTTTTTCAAATTAAAACTGAATTTTAGGCATTCTAACAGTGTCCCTTTGAGGTAAAACACTAAAAGGCCTTTTGATCAACTCACAGCCTAATTTCAATCTCTGCATCAGAAACTAACTTTTAATGAAGTTGAATGTTAAAACTGGAGAATAGACTTCCGCCAAGATGGAGGTTTAAGGTGGATGTGCCTGCCTCCTCACACAACCAAGTTTAGGGACAACTAAATATTAGCATCAGAAAACACAACCAGAACACGGAAAACTGAACTTTTCGGAAGTCCGCTAACAACAAATTCTTCGGCCCGACCGGTAAGGGGCGAAACTGGCGTCGGGTGAGGAGTTACAAGGGAGTCGACCCGGGCGCGGAATCCAGACGCGCGAATCCAGTCGCAAGGGTTCCAAACCCAGGATTGGACCTAGTGAGCAACCGAGCGGCCCACCGGGTGAGCGACTACGGAGGAGTCAGTGGGGAGGCGGTGGCAGCGAGTTGACTGAGGTTGCATGGTTGCACGCTGGTGAGGGAGTGAGCGCTTGGACTGGGGGCGGCGCCATTGCCATTTCCCCGCTCTGACCACGCCCCCACATACAGGTCACAACCCAGCGACCTGGGAATCCAAGGCGCCGCTCCTCCCACTTAAAGGGCCAGAACAGACCAAAAATGTCGCAGGAAGACCTCAAAGCCCCACAGATAAATCTAAGTGACGAAGAAATAGCAAATCTCTCAGACGCACAGTTTAAAACACTGGTCATCAGCTTCCTCACAGATCTGGTGGACTATAGCCACAAATTAGAGAAACATATGAAGGCTAAATTAAGGGAAATGAATGGAATTCCACAGGAAAACCATAGAGATGAAAAAAAAAACTGGGACTCAAATCAAAGGAGTGAACCAGAAGGAAGAAGAAAAAAATCATCAAACAGAATGGAATGAAGAAATAAGAATTCAGAAAAATGAGGAGAAGCTTAGGAACCTCCAGGACATCTATAAACGCTCCAATATCCGAATTATAGGGGTACCAGAAGGGGGAAAGACACAACCACCAGTGGAAAAACTATTTGAACAAATAATAAAAGAAAATTTCCCCAATCTGGCAAAGGAAATAGACTTCCAAGAAATCCAAGAAGCTCAGAGAGTACCAAAAATTTGGACTCAAGAAGAAACACACCAAGGCATATCATAATTACATTAGCCAAAATTAAAATGAAGGAAAGAATCCTGGAAGCAGCAAGAGGTAAGGGGACAATCACCTACAAAGGAGTCCCCATCAGGCTGTCAGCAGATTTCTCAAAAGAGACCTTACAGGCAAGAAGGGGCTGGAAAGAAATATTCCAAGTCATGAAATCTAAAGACCTACAACCAAGATTGCTCTACCCAGCAAAACTTTCATTCAGAACGGAAGGACAGATACGGTGCTTCTCAGATAAGACCAAATTCAAGGAGTTCATCATCACCAAGCCCTTATTATATGAAATGTTAAAGGGACTTATCTAAGAAAAAGAAGTTAAAGAAACATGAACAGTGAAAGGACAACAAACTCACAGTTATTAACAACCACACCTAAAACGAAAGCAAACTAAAAGGACAGCTAGATCAGGAGTGGAAACATAGAAATGAAGATCTCAAGGAGGGTTAGCAACAGGGGAGTGGGAGGAGGAGACGGGGGGGAGAAGGTACAGAAAACAAGTAGCATAGACAGTAGATAGAAATTAGATGGGGGGGGCAAGAATAGTATGGGAAATATAGAACCTAAAGGACTTGAGACACATGGGCATAAACTAAAGGGGGGTAATGGTGGGGTTGGGGGGGCAGGGTGGAGGGGAATGAAGGGGGGAATAGAACAACTATAACAGCATAATTAATTCAAAAAAAATTTATTTAAAAAAAAACTGGAGAATATGTAGTATAACACATTAATGAGCCTTCCAAGATAGTACAAGTGGACATGTATTTATTCTTAAAACTAATTGCTTCCTTCATGTATATTGAAAGCATATAACTTTTCTGTAATAAACACTCGAGATCCATTCTCAAAGTCTTTGTCATTCTATTAAGAAAAGCACAGCCGTGCTAACTTTGGTACATAAACCACAAACACACCTAAAATACAAAAACAGAACTAGTGCCTTATACAAATTTAACCAACACAGGCACCATGCCAAAGTCATTAAAATACTTTTAGGACATGTACAAACTATACATCTCCAAAACAATAAAATACAAGAGCTATCTGCATCATGTATCAAACTCAACTGGGTGAAAACATCAAGGTAATAAATGGAATTAGAAAGGCACTTCTATGCACAAAATATAAAGTGAGTCTTCAGGCCAAAATGGAGGTGTAGGTGGATACACTGCCTCTTGGAACAACCAAAATAAGTACAACAACAAGTCAGAAACAAAGTAACAACCAGAACTGACAGAAAATTGAACTATATGGAAGTGCAAGAACCAAGGAGTTAAAATAGACACATTCATCCATACCGGTAGTAGGGGTGCAGTCTGGCAGTGGAGCAGAGAGGGGTCTCGGCACAGGATGCAGTGACACTGGGAGGGCAAGGCACCCCGAGCGTGCATGGTGGCATCGGGCTGACCCTGGGCACCCAGGCAGCGACTAACAGACCAGGTGTGTGGTGGCAACGGGGAGACCCAGTGAGGCTATGATCGAGAAGCAGGGCACCGTGGGCAAGGTGGCTGGCTGACTGGGCAGCAGTCCCACATTTGCACACAGATAACTGGGGAGCAAGACAGATCACGCAATCCAGAGTCCTAGTGCCGGGACATAAAGCCTGAAAACACTTGTGGGGGTTGAGGCACAGGCAGAGACTCCCACCCTCACAGGAAAGTTTATTGGAGAAACCCACAAGGTCCTAGAATGAACACAAGCCCACCCACATGGGAAGCAGCACCACAAGTGCTCAGTTTGCTTCAGTGAAGCGGCAGAAGGGACTGAGGTGCAACAGAGAGGGGAGCAAAGCGCCATTTTTTCCCTCTCCGACCCCAGCCCTTACACAGCATCACAACCCAGTGACTTGGGTTGCCCCACCCTGGTGGATGCCTAAGGCTCCGCTCCTCATACATAACGGGTGGGAACAGACCAAAATATTATGGCTCAAGCAGAAAAACACCTCAAAGCCCCAGAGCCAATACTTCTAAGGGACAAAGAGACAGCCAACCTATCAGACGCACAGTTCAAAACACTGGTGACTAGGATGCTTACAGAATTGGTTGGTTTTAGTCACAAATTAGAGGAACAAATGAAGGCTAAACTAAGTGAAATGAAGGGAAATGCACAGGGATCCAATAGTGATGGGAAGGTAACTGGGACTCAGATCAATGGAGTGGGCCAGAAGAAAGAAAGAAACATTCAACCATACCAGAATGAAGAAAAAAGAATTCAAAAAAATGAGGAGAGGTTTAGGAACCTCCAGGACAATTTAAACATTCCAACATCTGAATTATAGGGGTACCAGAAGGGGAAGAGGAAGAGCAACAAGTGGAAAACTTATTTGAGCAACTAATAAAGGAGAACTTCCCCAATCTGGCAAAGGCAGTAGACTTCCAGGAAGTCCAGGAAGCTCAGAGAGTCCCAAAGAAGGTGGGCCCAGAGAGGAATACAACAAGGCATC